CTGGGTTCGCTGCTGCCACTTCTCCTCCAGTTTCCCTCTGCCAAATATGAAGCAATTGTAAAGCAATAACCTGTTGGTAGCCATGAAATAGGATGTTTGGGCCAAGTCCTTGCTGGCTGCAAGAGAAAAGGAAAGAGCAGGGGTCAGTGTGTGTAAACTCTGAGATCCCACTTTGGGCATCGCAGCCCAGAAGAGGCCGCTCAGCACCACTCCCCCGCCCCAGTGCGAGTGCCCCACACAAGAGGGGCTCCAGAGCTCCATGCTTATGGGGATGGCGCAGCAGACCCCCAGCCCCCGCGGCACAGGGAGCTCCCACAGCCGGGTGAGGTTACACCCCACTCACCTCGCACCAACTGCGTGCACTTCACCACGTGCGTGTGCGGGTGGTCGATGGTGATCTCGAAGCCTGGGAGGAGAAGACAATGCAGCCATCAGGAGCCCATGGACCCACGAACCTCCCTGAGGGGGGGAACAAGGCTCCCTCCCCTCCCCTCCTGCAGCCCCTGCTCTGCTCCTGCCCACAGCACTTGGGTTCTCCAGTCGCAAACCCTGAAGCTGCTGCTTCCAGACCTCCAGAAGCAGCTTGAGGGACCTCGCTGCAAACAAACCCACTCAGCAATAGCAGGACAAAGCCTCTCAGAGCAGCTGGAAGGAAGGAGGAGCCAATGGCAGCTGCTCAAAGGCATCTGTCACCCAGAAAGCCAAGAGGAAACAGACGCCTTCCCTTTGAAGGGGGCTCCAGCACTGCAGAGCTGCAGCCTCGCTGCAGTTTCCTATTCACTTTGGGCATCAGGCTCTAAAGGGGGGGTGGGAAGATCAACTCAGTCCATGTGTGCAGCAGATTTGCTTCTTCCCATGGGGAATGCTTCTTCCCATGGGGAATATTCTAGAAGCAGCAGGATGTTAAAAGGGCAAGAGGAGAAGCTGCAGTTTGGCCCTGCTTGGCCAGCCCCTGTGCTCCTGGTGGCATCTGCTCATAAGCCAGGTCGAAGGACCAGAGGCCCATAGAGGGCTGTGAAGCACCACCTGGAGCAGAACACATTGCTACAGGTCCCTCGTAGGAATGGGAGAACGGATCCAATGTAGGATCCAGCTTCTGCTTCCATAACCCCCCGCCCCCAAACCTGCCGCTGGTGGGGTTGTTGCTTCATATTCAACACAAGAACATTCAAGGCAGGCTCTGGTAGACCTGGTGCAGCACAAGCTGCTTCCTGCCGCCAGGAATTCTGGAGTATTATGGAATTGAACAGCACAACGGGGACCGAGCAGCACAAAACCTGCTGTGGGAGGGGGGGAAAAAAAAGACCACAACTCCTGGGTTACACCTGAGACAAGGAGAACAGGAGGAGGGAGGGGGAAAGGAGAGTTTGCTGCCTGGGTTCCTGATGTGGAGAAGACCGTGGTTAAGACTCCTGGCTCCGCAGAGCATTCCCGGCTCTGGGAATGCTGGGCTGCTTTGGAACACTCACCCAGGGTCTGTAGGATGATGCTCTCTAGAATGACCAGGTCTTGGGCTTGCTGCAGATAAGCCTGGTGTGGAGAGGAAAGCAAGTGACTCACAGGGTAACCCTACACATCACTGACACCAAAGCAGCAAAGGGGAATCTTTGGCATGGGGGGAAGTGGCCCAGATTCCCAGCTGGAAAAGAGGCAGCAATGGCCCCGCTCCCCACTAGTGCTCCTGCTTGTCACAGGGAGCCTCTTGGTGCTGGTCCCTCAAGCTGCACGGACAGCTCAGGGATTTGCTGCTCGATTTCCCTTCAGCTTCCCTGGATAAAGTTGCTCCAGAGCTGAGGAACCAATGTGTGGGGACAGCCACATCCACACCCTTCTCTGAGCACGCTGCCACACAGCGGGGGAGAACAGGAGAAAGAAGCCCTTTAGGCACTGAGCATCCCCATCCCACCATTCCCACCTCCCCACTCACCTCGCTCTTGGGTTCCAGAGGCGCTTCCAAGGGATGCAAACAGGCTCGTGCCACCTTGATGACATGCTCCAGCTTCCGAGGCTGCTCCTCCACCTTGGCTGCCAGGAAGAGCGCGGCTGGAACCACGGCCTGCAGCGGGGGAGATCCACCCGTTTTCCGAGAGTTAGGAAGTTCAAGTGTCGAGCAACAGAACGAGGCTCATTCCGCACTTACAGAGCGGGTAACGAGCAAACGCAAGCCCCAGGAGGAGGGCCAAGGGGCTCCCCCCCGGGCGGTCCCCGCGCCCCCCGCGCCGCAGCACTCACGTTCCGGTGGAACTGGGTGAAGGACTGCACCATGTAGAAGCGGTGCATGTACACGATGGCCGTGTTGATGGTGAGCTGGGACCTGATGGCGCCGTTAAGGAA